AACACCAAAAACAAAGTTAACTTACATAAAATCTTATAACATTCCATAATATTATTCGAAACCAAAATTAATAGAAAATCGTTTTCGCAATGAAGCAATTAATCAAAGTTCGAATCGACCAGACTTCGACAGATAATACCTAGAAATGGTAGGTAGATGGTGTAAATTAATAATTTTACAAAGTTAATTAAAATCTTCCCGGTTTGCCTTAGGGTCTGTGCAGACGAGAAACTTTCGTCAGTCTGATTTGACTCGACTGCATCAAAGAACGTTTTCCGACCACACAGTCAAAGTCAAATCATTTATTTCAAATGGGCAAAATAATTTATAAATTACTTAACAAACTTTGTGAAACAAGCACAGCGTTGTGTTTCGCCGTGTGAGTGAGGTTACCGGAGGCCCAATACGGGTAGTATTGGGCCTGCTCCCCCAATCCTTGCTCATTCCTAAAATCTCCAATTACCTAATCTCCAAAAGGTCGGCAACGCACTCATAAATCCTCCGTCGTTGCGGTTGTCCATGGATGAGACCGATTGCTTACCATCAGGTAATCCGTTTGCTAGTTTGACAACCTATCTCATAAAAAAACAAGGTGACAAATCACTTAATGGCGAATAAAATCGGCCATGCTCATGGATATCCGCAACATCAGATAAATTACAAGTGCGTTGCCGGTTTTAAAAACCCAACATGAGGTTTGCCGGGGCTACGAGGCAAGCGCAATGACGTATCGTGGCTTCGGCCTGGAGCAAAATAAGGAACGGGGGTTTTTAGTCAGGTAAAATTGACACTTCCTTTCGTCTTACCCTGGACGAGAGCAGATATGATAGATGACTTGCTTCCTTCAAAAAAAATGTGGGATATGTTGTTTTACTACAAGTATAAGCTTATCGGTTCCACTCTTAAGTAAAATGATTTTTGTCCTACAACAAAGTTGCCCGTCTGCACAGTCCCTTAAAGTGTTCGATGACCGGAGTTCGACGGCCATTTTGGAAATACGAGTAAAGTTTTGCAATTGCGATTTCAGTAAAGTCGTAGGTATACGGAATCAGGTTCGAGTGGAATGTCGAAAACTTTTCGTTGAACTTAAATGTTTTCTATACGAACTTTGTTTATTTTTTCCATTTCTATTTAATGGTTGATTTATGGTAGTTTGAATTAGTGTTTGTTCTTTTGGATTGACTCTTTAGAAGTGATTGCAAATCGGACTCTGCAGCGTCCATTACAACATTTTTTTCAAAACTACTAGGTACTGCGTTTAGCGACAATTTTCATGACAGCTAGCAATCTACAATGTTAACCAGTGTTAGACCTTATTGAGATTGCAGGTTGTGGGTCAAGGAAGGAAAAAATGTGGTGGTTTTTGATTAGAAACTCGCTAGGGTGAAAAAAGTCATTTGATGACTATCTCTTCAAAAAGTTTGATACAGATTTGCGACTACATTAAATTTTTGAATCAAAATGCGCACTTACTACAAAAAATTCTATCCGAAAAAGATCTTAAATAAAGTATTTAGTTTAATCAATGAATGAAATACGATTAACAGTTACAGTAAAAGGAAAATCTACATCCAAGTTTATTACTTCTGTAGTGTTCGTCTTCTAAAAGATCCCTTATTTATGTTAATTGAATTTCTGTTCTAAAATGTTGTGTCCTTTGCCACCAGCTCGTCCCTCACCACCACGGAACTGCACAGCCAAGAGGATCATCCTTCACAACGAAGCCCTCCTCTCCGTCAAGTGCGCAGCTGGGTATGACGGAGGTCTAAACCAGCACTTCACTTTGGACATCCTGGGAGAAAATGGGAGAACCCTGGCTAATACCACTGCAAATTTTATGGGTAATTCTTTACAAAAAATATTGTTTGTACTTTGATTAGCGATTCGTGTATTATTTTTTTTATTTTGGATGGTGAAAATGCGTTTTGCTATAGTTGGTAATGTTTTTGGTATGATGGACAACTCTATACCAACCCAATCCAACCTCGGTTCTCCTTAAGTAGGTTTTTTTTATGGGATAAGTCGACCAATGATCCTACGAATCACTTACTGGCTAGCAATCAGCGCCGCCCATGGACACCCCCAATAGCAGAAGAGTTACGAGTGCGTTGCCGACCTTTGTGGATTTGAGGGTTGGGGTATTTGGAGATCGGGGATAGGATTGGATCTCCAATAACCTCACTTTAAAGCCGAAACATAAAGCAAGCGTTGTTTGATTATATTCCATTTGATGACATAACATATAATATATTTATTACACCTCCTACATACCAAATTGGTGTAATCTGGTTAAATAAGTATTCCAGGAATGATTTAATTAAATGTTTTGCAGTTGTTGACCATTAGTGTTATTTCAATAGTGGAATCTGGAATTCATGTGAATTTTCCAATTAATTGCATATATTTATGTACCTATATATGTATTGTATATATGTAATGTTGTATTATACGACACAGTTCAAATGAATGATTTCATCGATTCATCCGTTTATTTCACAAATAAAACCTTTTCATTGATATCACCTAATACTTAACATAATATTCCTAAATTTGTAATTCGTTAGGTATATTTTTTCCACTAACTTTTTAATGTAACGTCGTCATTGTAACCAAATATGTCGTCATTGTAGCCCAGAGATTCAAATTCCCGCTTCTCATGCAAGATAATTTGGGTTTAAAACCTGGCAAGTACCAATGTGACTTTTTCCACCACTCATAAACGGTGAAGGGAAAAAAACATCTTGAGGAAACCTGGACTTATAATTTCTAACTTTAAAATCGCCAATCCGCCTTTAGCAAGCATGGTGATAAATGCTCAAACATTTTTAATTCTCAGCATAAAAAAGGCCTTTGCCTAAGCAGTGGGGCCTAAGCGGGGGACCTAAGCACTTATAGGCTGATGATGATGATATTAATTTATTTGGCTAGGACCGGGCAGAAATTAAAACTGAAATATGAATAACTTATAAAAAATATTCCAAAAAAGTTCCTATATTCCCTAATAAGTCGTTAAAGGTTTTTGGACTTTACTAATATAGTCATAAAGTAATAAATACATTGACAGGTTCTGTACCATTGAACAAATTAATAGTTATTTAGCAGACCATTTATCGTAAAATTAAATTCCTAGCAATAATAATAATACATTCATTGCACGTCAACGATTCAAATTTAGAACATCGTATTCCGAATTCAAAATTATTACGTACCTGTAGCAAACCGTTAATAATAATAATTGTCATTTAACGGTTTTGTTCATGGAGTATATGGAAAAAGAGTAACCTTTTTATGTGATTGGACGGCAAACGAGCAAACGGATTACCTGATGGTAAGCAATCAGCGACGCGCATGGATCCCCGCAACAGCGGAGGAGTTACGAATGTTGCCGATCTTTTAAGGATTAGGGATTTGGAGATTTTGGTATTGGAGAGGGATTGGGGGTGAGGATGAATTTGTCTATTTAGAGGAACTATTTTTTATGTAAAAACTAGCAACCCATAATAATAAATAGTAACTAGCAATGTATGAAAAATAAAAAGAAAAGAAAGAGACAGCAAATATGTATTATATTTTCGTATGGTGCTCGTTCTTCTCCATAAGAAAAGACACTTGGGAACAAGCAAAGGGCTTCAACAGCGGTTAGACTGACATACAAAGTTGGACTTTTTGATATTTTATTTTATTTTGTAACGTTCAAAAGTGCCTACAGCGAAATAAATTATTTGACTTTGACTTCAACTCCTACCAATAAGCATTTTCAAATTTTAACAAACACTATCGTTTTCTGAGACAGTACTCCATATCTCTATAATCTGTGGCTGCTGACCAAAACCAATATGACATTTGGTTTTAAAGTGTCAGTTTTCAACCGACAACGTTCGGTAATGAGACTGGATGACACATGCGACGGATAATATGTTGTATGTGTAATATTGATTTGTAGAGGTATTTGTGTGTCTGAGTAACCAGTCAAGAATATTGTTGATATTGAATACCTCGTGCCAACTCGGCCGGAGTGGCAAGAGGTATTCAATATATGCATGGCCTCACAGAATACCAGCGTGAAGCAACGTTTACTTAGTCTCCGTGTGAATGAGGTTATCGAAGGCACAATCCTTACAACCATCCTCAATCCCTATATTATATGTAATGTCATCTAAAACACTCGTCACATGTTTTTCTCACGGTACCAAATGAAAGTCAGTAATTTTCATATTATAATATAGTCACAAAATATTTTTTTTTTACTAAAATTAAGTTGAACAAGACTTGGCTTCTATTCAATCTCAAAACTTTTGACTATGGAAGAATAGCGTAGAGGGACTTGACCCTTTTTACATTGAATGTTTTTAGTCATTGTTTTATTTTATGACGGACTAAAGCTTGAGGGGGGGTGGAATCATACAATGACGGTACTCACGCCAGAGGAATTTTATTCTCTTACTATTTAAAATCAATCGGTACATAATTTCGTTTTACCCACTACATCATCATCCTATAAGTGTCCATTGCCGAGCAAAATCCTCTTCTAACCAAAGAAGGTTTGAGCATTAATCACAACGCTTGCTGCTAGCCTAGAAGTTATAAGTCCAGGTTTCCTCATGATGTCTTCCTTTACCCTATGTCAGTGGTGTATTAATAATCTTAAAAAGTATATACTTACATATAACTTGGAAAAAGTAACGTTGGTACTTGATAAGTTTCGGGCACGTACCTTCATGCATGAAAAAAGTGACAATATTTTACCCGCAATCTTGTCAGAGAATCAATCCTAGTAGTCTTCATATGTAGTGGTCGTATGGTTCTTTGAATACCAATATGGTTACGAGTATGGTTATTTGAAAAGCGCGTGGAATACAACGCACCATACGTTAAATAATAAGCGATTTTCTTTGTAACTTGTCTCTTACACATCAATGAAAAGACTAAGGAAGATTCTAATCTACCATCACATGTGTGTGATAATGATGAGAAAATCGTTAATAAAACCTTTGTCCACAGATATGATAGTCTGGTTCAACGTCAGCTGGTCAGCAGTGGATTCTTTGGAAGATGATGAGGATCTTGCAGTGACGGCTCGGAATAGTAAAGGTGCTTCAGATCCTGTTCTGCTTAGAGATCTGGTCTTCAGAGACGCGGAGAAAAGGGCAGGTGAGGGAAATGATACTGACGATGTCTTTAATGACATTGATGACGATGACATTTTTCGGTTTGTTACATTTCTTCTTTGATTAGAAGAAGAGCTTTGTTCTGCTCAGGATATAAATAAAGAAAACCAAAATATACACAATAGCTTTTGAGATCTGCCTAACTATAGTTGAACAGTTGTGCTCGGGAATAACTGCATAAACACTGAAGTTAAAATAAAATATCATATTATTTATGTTCCGAAAATTTTGGTTGACGAATGGACCTTCAGCCGGAGCAGTACAAAATCACCCTACAAATACCAAAATCAAAGTAAAACCAAGAAAAAACTAAAGCAAAACAAATTAAGACCAAGAATCTCACCTTAAAGATTAGTAATCTTTGCGACCACAAAACAGTGCGAATGGTAATTCCAGTACATATATTTAATGATACTATTAAGTTAAGACTGGTGATATTCTCGTAGTAAAACTCCATATACTGTACTCTGAACACTCAACTAAATTTAAGAGGAACGTAAACTGATAATACTGCTAGGAAAGACATGGCTTTTAAAATAAGTTCTTATCATAAAACTGTGTACTACATACGTATTTAAAAATCTGATTCTAGCTGAGTTATTAAGGTTGAAGGCACAGCGCATGTAAACCATTTCGTTATTCACAGATGTCTTATATCACATTACATCATCAGCATTTCATCACTGCTAAGCAAAGGCCTCTTCTCACACGAAGAAGGTTTAACCATTAACCACCACGCCTGCTAAAAGCGGTTTGGCGATTTCAAACTTATAATTAGGTACATTATAAAGTCCAGGTTTCCTCACGGTGTTTTCCTTCACCATGCCGGTTTGACCGGAGTCATCGCTCCGGAGCGTAAAGCAGGTCAATTGTTGAGAAAATTTCATTAATTACGATTTAGCCGTTTTGGAGTTAATTTATAAAACACATGATAATAATTTTAATGTTGCATTTTTTTCATTGTTTTTTTTTTTTTGTGAGGGGAAAATCATCAAATGACTTCTCCCGCCCAGGGCCGGGCAGGAGGGAGTGTCAGACTCTTACTGACTAAAAACCCCCCTGTTCCTTCTCCTGCTCTGTGCCGAGGTCGCGGTACCTCATTGCGCTTACCCCGCAACCCCGGCTGAACATCAGCCCTTTAGGGCCCCGTCTGTGGTGGTCTATTGGCTCTTTGAGGCGCGCGCGGAACGCTACGCGCCGTACGCTCGGGCCTGGTTCTGGTCGGGCGGCGAGCTGCCCTTACTCGCCGACCGCAGGCCCGTACTTACGGTGGCCGGAGATCGTCCCTCGATCCCCGACGCCCGTAGTGTCGCCAGTTGCGGCTGCTGGGGCGTGAGGAGGAGGATTGCTCCCTCACGCGGGCCGCCTCTCTCTTTGCGAGCATGACTGCTTCACAAAAGGAGGAGACGGCGTCCCAGTTCCTCTCACTCCGCACCATGGCCTCGACTAAGGCCGGGCGCGAGAGGTCGCCATTTTTTTCATTGTACGGTATAGTTCGGTACACAAAATTTGATGTAAGAACTCACTCACGCGTTTTAATCCAGGGCTTAAATAAATAATTGTAATTTAATTTTACAGTATTTCGTTTTCTTTATTATATTTTCATTCAACGTGTAAACAAATCTAGAACTTGATATTCCGGTTTTAGGGTTCCAAATGAACAGTTGACACATCTTTAGATTTGTGTCTGTTCGTTGAAAGCTGCAACATCGAAATGCTTTCTGCTTCTGTAGAACCAAATAATTGATAGTCTGCGTGACTTTTGTATGGCTCATAGTTTAACTAAGTTTGACGTCGACTCGAAACGCATATAGAATATTTTAAGACAATTATCATCGAGAGATGACGTCACAATACTACATTATACCACGGCCTCGCAAAAAAACCTCTGGAAACAACCACAGCTTTGTGTTGTCCAATGTGAGTTCCGTTCTGGAAGCCCCATCCTTCCCTCCTCTAATCCCACCCCAATCCTTAAATCCCCATTTCCCCAAAATCACGACAACGTACTTGTAACTCCTCTGTTGTTCCACGTGCGATGAATGAATTAATGTATAACACATTAGTATTAATGTATAACACATTAATATATATATACATACATACATAAGTAGTAGTAATGTATAACACATTAATTCATTCATCGCACGTGTAGTTTATTTTATGTGATGTGTTGGCAAATGAGCAGACTGATTACCTGATGGTAAGCAATCAGCGCTGCTCATAGACACCTGCAACAACAGACGAGTTACGAGTGCGTTGCCGACCTTTTGGGGATTAGGGATTTCGGAGATATAGGGATTGGGGAGGGGAAGAATTGGGCCTCCGGTAACCTCACTCACACGGCGAAATACAACGCTGTAGTTGTTTTACGCCGGTTTTCTGTCAGGCCGTTTGGTATCCACTCCGGTCGAGCCGGCCCAGTCCAAGCATGACTCTCCCACATTTAAATTAATTTTAATACAATTGAACATGGATAAGAAAATCCCACCAGAAAAGAGTTTTTCTATTAGAAAACCAAGCCCTTGTCCAGCTAACTAAGCGAGAAAACTTCTAATGTGATACTAGAGACCTTTACTCACCGCTTTAGGTAACACCAAGCATTTGTCATATATCAGTCGAGCAAGCAATGGGCCGCGCTATTGCGATCAGCTACCGATATTGTCCATTCATCGCCAAATGCCCGAAGGCAAGTTCAATTTGCTGGTATACCTGAATTATGACCTATTATTTTGTGTTCTAGTCTGTTGAACTTTTAGTAATATATGCGTCTGTGATTGTGAAGAAGTCTTTCTTCAAACGACCTTTTAGGGATTAGGGATTTGGAGATTTAGGAATTGGTGGAGGGGAAGAATTGGGCCTCCGGTAACCTCACTCACACGGCGAAACACAACGCTGTGGTTGTTTCACGTCGATTTTCTGTGAGGCCGTGGTATCACTCCGGTCGAGCCGACCCATTCGTACCGAAGCACGGCTCTCCCACACTTACCTGCTCCAAAATAGATAACCGCGCATAATTGGTTCAAGTTTCGAGTCGAGCAATGAGTTTACTGGGTTCTATTTATGGTTTCATGGTACGGGAAAATTTTATACTGTGATTATTTTCAGCCGCTCTTTGGGTAATACAAAGTAAGAAATAATCGTGGGTTTGACTATGCAAGTTTTTAAAATGCAACTAGCCGGAAAGGGTTGTTTTCTACATCAAAAATAAAATATTGTTATTTTTTTAATAATTAAAATATAAGTCATTGATTTGTCGATTAGGTACTTACTTATTTTTTTTCTGTTCGAAGTAAGAACATTATTACGTCATATGGTCATATGTTGCAAGTAAATACAAAATTCATAGAAAAATATTGCTTTTGATTTTTTCAATAAAAGTATAATAAAATTTGACTAGTTCAAAACTACCGCATTGCCATTCATCCATGTCCGGGAAAGATAAACAATAAATAATATTAGTCATTCACTGTTTTTTTTTGCCGCAACAAATTGGCGTTACAACAAATAGAGGAATATTTATAAATAAAAAGAAATTCTATTGCATTGCAATTCAATTTTTTGAAATATTTTCTACGTGCAAATACGTAAGTACTCGTTTTTTTTTTGTCAAAACTAAACATCAACTTTTTATTTATATATTTGTACTTATTTTGCCCGCAGCTTCGCTGTGCTCTAATATATCCGTTTTGCGTAAAAACATTCTCCTAACATCATCAGGAGAACAAAAAATTAACCATCGAAATCAGTGCAGCTGTTCCCGAGAGTTGCGCTAAGTAACGCTTTTCGTCATTCATTTTAGCATCATAGAAGATAGTTAATTGGAATATCTAAATTATCATAAAACAACTTCACTGGAACTAAATGATTAAAATTACATCGTAATATGTGTTTTTTTGAACATTATAGTATAAAATATATTTATTATATATATGGATATTGGAATCTTACCTTTTGACCGAGCACTTTATCTTATGATGACGGGCGAAGCCTTAAAGTAAAATCTTCATATCTATCAGTATAGTATTCTTACCTAAATAATTCTACTCGTGTCTACTAGCTTGCCTTCTAGAAGGACACGGCAATTTTTGGGAGGGGATATTAACAAATGTCTTCTCCTACCCAGAATTGGGCGGGTGGGAATCTCATACTTTTACTGGCTAAAAACCCCCCGTTCCTTCTCCTGCTCTAGGCCGTGGCGCAGTGACTTATTGCGCTTGCCCGGCTAAACATCAGCCCTATCTGTGGTGGTCTAATGGGTCTTTGAGGCGCACGCAGATCGCGACGCGCCGTACAGGTCGGGTCAGGTTCTGGTGCCGGGGCGAGTATCTTTACTCGCCGTCCACATTAACGGTGACCGGAGATCATCCCTCTACCTAGGGCGTGAGGAGGAAAAAGGACAGGACTACAGCCTCAAAGAGCCAATAGGCAATTTCGTCATGCAACTTAATCTCCCTAGACACACTCATAAAGACTTCCTTACTGAATGCGAGAATTGCAAACTGAATACGAATAGACTGCGGGGCTATCGCACTCGGATCTCTCTAATTAACTAATGTACAACTGACTCGTTGCTGCCTGTTTATATACACGGCAATGTGTCAATGTGTGCCTTAGTGTATGCGTGGAACCAACTTAATGTCGTTGTATATGTGTGTATACCAGCACTGATGTGTCGTCGAAGACGAGTAGGTTACTTGATAGTATTTGTATGAATTATATGCCAAATTAATTATATATTTACAGTTGTCGTGGTAATCCAGAGGATAACACGAGGACGAGGTTTCGAAACCTTTCGAAAAAACTAGCTGTACTTTGTAAATGTAGAAAGTTTCAAGTTCAAACCATTCTTAATAACAGGGGTGTTAGGGAGCTCCGTAACCGTAACCGCAACTATCGGATATCCGATATAAAAAATCATCCGTAACCATAACCGAATCCGAAATTAAAGTTTCGGATAGTATCGGATAGGGGCGGAGCCTAATTGAGACACGTTATGACAAGTTGTTTTGATCGGCCGGCCGCTGCCAGTGCCGACACACAAGCTGCGCGCATTGTTTTTTTTTCTTCTTTAACAAATGTGTTGGTTGTGTTACGGAATCGATTGAATTTGTACAAAATACGTCCTAGTTTGCTCGTTTTTTGATGAAATGACCGATTCCGCAAAATGTAAACAGTGTGGTAAAAGCTTTTCAAGGAAAAGAGGTGGGACTACATCGCTAAAACTTCACCTTGAATCACAACATAGAGATAAGTACGAAGAATTTTACTTTTAAAATTCCTTAAAAATATAATATCCGTAACCGAAACTAACGGATAATCCGAAATAATTTATTATCCGTATCCGTAACCGTATCCGGTATAATAATCATTCCTATATCCGTATCCAATCCGTAACCGAAATTTCATATCCATAACATCCCTGCTTAATAACCTTCCAGTCGAAATGAACAGCTGTATAAGAAATACGTCAAATATTTAAAAAAACACATAAATACCTCCTCAATGAATTTTATCAAGCCCACAATGATGAGGATATGAAGAAAGTGTTAGTGTAAATATGTATGGTTGAGCTAGATAAAAGGTACTACATCTGACAATAAACTGCTTTGCAGTTCAGCAGACGTAATACTTATAGTGTTGAATACTTCTGTGAATAAAAAAACTTTTTCATTTTTATCTTTTATTTTAAGCTTATTTAGATACTACTTACATACGGCTAAGAACAACATTGTAAAAAACACTGCTTTTTTGGGCAGTCGAGTCGTGTAAAAAACCTTCACTTATAATTTCCAACTGTAAGTTTGTAAATCGCCAACCCGCCTTGAGCAAGCGTGGTGATTAATACCACGCTAAGAGGTGCTTACTCAGCAGTAGGCACTACTGCTTAAAAAAAAAAAACACCCTAATAATTCAAAAAATATATTACACGATCACATCGACTTACTCCTTCGGCAAAAAGATAATATTATCATATCAGATATGTAACTATCAATATCATTGCTCCTTCCCAGGAAATGTAATATCATTTATATTTTTTTGATATTTCGTTCACATTTTGTTATCCATATCCATATCCATACTAATGTTATAAATGTGAAACTAACTCTGTCTGTCTGTCTTTTCTTCACGCCTAAACTACTGAACCTATTTGTGTGAAATTTATATTTGTACCGACATAGTTTGGAACTCGAGAACGAGAGACATAGGATAACTTTTAAACCAAAAATCTGCAAGAAGTCACTATTCCACGCGGACAAAGTCGCGGGAAAAAACTAGTATAATATAATATTTTCTTATAATCATATCCTATCCAGCTCGTAATGGATGACAAACTATGGAATTCATGTCGTTATAAATGGAAAGATGTTTTAGTTAAGGGTTTCGTTATTTTTACTCGATTTTGCCTTCAGCTGTATACCTAATATAATAGAAGATAGAATTTTTCATACGAAGAGTCAAATATTTTTATGTTTTTTTATATGAGTAGTAAAAAGCTTGGTTTGTTTTTTATTTTCGACTTTCGGCGGTGTATGTCGATTACCTGATGGTAAGCAATCGATCCACAAAACTAGAAGAGTTGCATATATGTTGCTTGCCTCTTGGGGGTTAAGGATTTGTGAAGAAGGTTGCAACTCGAAAGTACTAACACGGAGTAATATAACTTAAGATATTCTCTATTGGTTTAAGTGTGGGAGAGCCACGCTTTGGCACGAATGGGTCGGCTAGATCGGAGTGATACCACGGCCTCACAGAAAACCGGCGTTAAACAATCGCAGCGTTGTGTTTTGCCGTGTGAGTGAGGTTACCGGAGGCCCATTAATCCTTCCCCAATCCTTAAATCTCTAAAACCCTAATCTCTAAAAGGTCGGCAACGCACTCGTAACTTCTCCGTTACGGGTGTCCATGAGCGGCGGTGTTTGCTTACCATCAGGTAATCCGTCTGCTCGTTTGCCGACTTATTACATAAAAAAAATGCCGTGGCATGACTCGGACTATTACTAATTTGTAGTTTTTTGTGTAGGGGGTAATGTCTTCAACCGCAGATTTCCAAAACTCTTTCACTGCCAGATAGCTAAAATTTTCTTAAGTTTTATAGACATCACGCTACAATCAAATGTAGCCAAACAGACACCGCGTGTGTGATTAATAATAAAATTTTGAACTTTAACATACGTATATAGGGTAAAATAATGTAATATGAAATAAGTATTAATTAGTTTTTATTTAACACAGAAAGCACAACTCGAGCGGAAACGAAGTTCCCAACAGCTGCTGCATTCGCGGGACTGGCTGCTATTCTAACTGCGGCAGGCGCTATAGCGGTACTCGCTGTGAGAAAGTAAGTACTTCTTGTACTATTATGAAACCATTATATTCATATTTTATTATTTAATTTAAGACTAGTTTTTGCTTCGGACTTCGTTTGACTATTTAGAATAATAGTACCAGGCGTGATTATTGTAAATGAGTTCTAAATTAAGTTTGAATTAGGTAGATATTTTTGCTTTAATCTTGCGCTTATATTTTAACATAGGCTGGGCAAAGGCTGGGTAACTGGCTGCCACGCAACGTGTCGCGGGTTCGATTCCCGCACGGAACAACTCTTTGTGTGATACACAAATTGTTGTTTCGGGTCTGGGTGTGTTGTGTCTGTGAAATTGTATGTTCGTAAACCCTATCCACGACACAGGAGTAAGTCCTAGTGTCCAAACAAACGACTAACGTTTATATAATTAAAAAATATATAATTTTTAAGTGATACTAATTAGGTAGGTAGGTACATGACATTGACATACATACATAGGATGATATGAACCCAGTAAGCGTTACATGGTTTTTTACTTGAAATTTTGTTATAAAAATCTCCCAAATGCCTGTAACCGCTCAACTTAAACGCATAAAGAGTCCAGATTATTATATATTAATTAGGTGAGGGGAATTTTTTCATTTAACCGTCTCCTGTGGGCATTCAAAGTTTGGGTCAGATTGAGTCTCGATTGCAATCAAAACACCATTTTAAAGTAATACTCAAAATTAATTAAAAATAAAATTATTAAAATTAAATAAAATTATTTATCAAATGCTTAAAGAATAATGGAACGTATTTTTTGTATGAATTATGCTCAATAGAAGTGTACTAGGTACTTGTATGACGTCTCTCAAACAGGCTCTTTATCTTACATTTCAATATACCTACTCCAAAGAAAATTTGACTTGACAATTTAAAACGGTGATATCTCATTCGGTACGGCTGCCAATAGTTCCGTATAGACTTCCTATGCGACTATGCAACTAAGGTAACTCGAACTTTCTCAGTTTGCATGTTCGAACCAGAAGTTATTATTTATTGACTCCTATAAGAGGTCTTATGAGACCTTTGTGTCTCGAAACTAGCTTGCATCAATAGAATTCAGGAAATACTGTCTTGTCTTAACTTGTTCTAGGTAAAATTATTTGTTACAAGCTTTTGCCCTGTAACTCCATTAACACGGAATTATTTCAATTCCTGCAGATTTTTGGTGCATTAACTATCCTATGTCCTTTCTCGAGTTCAAAAGTATGTGTAACAAATTTCATACAAATCGGTTCAGTAGTTTAAGCGTGAAGAAAAGACAGACAGAGTAACTTTCGCATTTATAATATCAGTATAGATAGACAATTATTTTCAGCTTCATATTGTAATGAAGTTAATAGGATCTCTTTTAAAGTTTTAACAACTTTGGTGAAAAATTAAAAGCAACGTTTAGAGGAAATAATGATTGCTGTGATATTTATTGCAGGCGCTTTACTTAACCTTACTCTTTGATACACGCAAGGCAGTAAAGTTTTCCACCTTCTATACTAATATTATAAAGTGGTAAAATTTCTAAGTTTTTATGTTAGTTGTATACTTTGGAACCGCTACTCGGATTGCCAAAATTCTTTCATGTTCTTGAGTGCTATACGCTGTATAAGATCGCCCTACGACTATTAAGAGACAAGCAGCGGTTGAAACCGCGAGGCAGTGGCTAGTTTTTTATAAAGAGGAAATTGTTACTGAACTTTAAACAAATCATTGTTTTGCCACAAATAAGTCTGCACATACAAGTGTGGGAGAGCCATGCTTAGGCACGACTGGGTCGGCTCGACCGGAGTGATATCACGGCGTCACAGAAAACCGTCGTAAAACTATCGCTGTGTGAGTGAGGTTACCGGAGGCCCAATCCTTCCCCTCCCCCAATCCCTAAATCTCCAGATCCCTAATCCCTAAAACTCGTAACTCTTCCGTTGCGGGTGTCCATGGGCGGCGCTGATTGCTTACCATCAGGTAATCCGTCTGCTCGTTTGCCAACCTATTAAATAAAAAAAATACCCACTTTGATTTTCTTAACAATCAATTAAGATACGTATAACAGGATATAAAAATAAATCGAAAAACGGAAGACGCCATTAGTCGGAATGATCTTATTATTAGTTAATTGTTATTTAAGATAAGGTCTAAGTAAATGTTAGCTGGCAGTTAGCCAAACCGACCAAGTTCTGTGCTAAACATACGTTGATTATAGGGCGCCATGTTTATGGGGGTGGGAGCCAAGTATTGTTTTAAAGACTATTTATGAGGTCCAAACTAGTTTGCGGGTTCAAGATACGGTGCGAAGACGCGTTTAATTAAAATTTTCCATCGTTTTCTTGTTGTTGTTTTTTTTTGTAAGGGGTTGTTTTTCTTTTCGTTATAATTCAAAGTTCAAAGTTGAGGTTGATAATTATTTTTATTTGGGAGATTATATACTTAATAGGGTATTTTAAAGACAAAAGAATGAAGTTTTTTTTATATAGGTGCCTATCCTAGTTATAGTAGGTAGTTACCGGAACGAACAGAAATAAAAAAAAAAATACTAACTTAATTAGAAAATTGACGGGTATCCCATCATAGAACCAATTAAATATATATATTTTTTAAATATCTGAAATGAATAACAATTTAAAATTAAAATAACATACTACCAAGTGGTTATATCCTCTTTGCATACTACGGTCTTCAGACAAAAATTGTCGTGTTGTGTAAATAGTTCACATGCATATAATTGTTAAAAAAAAAATTAACTAATCCATCCGAGTTTTATTTAAACTCACTTGTATTTAAATGTTTTACCCTTCATCAGGCGAGGAGAAACTACCACAACCTCAAAGCGACCTTCGCAGAGCGTGGTGCAGGTTGACGCTCAAGGGAGGCGGTTCCTCATAGCATACCCTGCTCCTGCGGACAAGCTGGAGACCAAACCTGATATACTGAATCCTAAGTCTGGTGAGTAAGGTTTTAAATAGAACTATCACAAAATTCATTACTAGACAGAAACAGACGCCTCCAGGAATCAACCTTGCTCAGCGCGGTTTAATAGAAAAAGCCATATTAATAGAAAAAAATGCGATTCAAGTAATGCTTTGGCACGAATGGGTCGGCGCAACCCGAATGATACCACGGCCTCACAGAAAACCAGCGTGAAACAACCACAGCGTTGCGTTTCGCCGTGTGAGTGAGGTTACTACTAACTATCTAATCAACTACTACTAGGTACCCTAAAAATAACTTTTTTTATGTGTCACGACAACAACGGCTAACAAGCAGACAGATTACTTGATGGTAAGCAATCGCAGCCGCCCATGTACACTCGCAACATCAGAAGATTTACGAGTACGTTGCCAGCTTTTTAGGGATTCGAGTTTCGGAGATTAAGGAACTGAGGTGCATGGATTGGGCCTCCGGTGACCTTGCTTATACGGTGAATTTATTATAAAAGTACTAAATAAATATTGATATTGAAACATTTTAATGATGTCCAGACAACGAGCCGCCGCGGGTGGTGCTGGAATCGAGTGACAACAAGAGCTACAGCATCAGGGAGGCGAGCTCCGAACCTCACAAGTCGGCATACAGCCCACCACCTCCACCAGAAAATATGGTAAGAAGATTTATTTACATTGATCATCAGCACCATTTTTTTTACATAACCAGGTTTAAAGTCTTAAATTTATTCGCCTTCTAAAGTTTCTTTCTCTCTTGATTTCGCTATTGACACAATATTTTTTTATATGATAGGTCGGCAAACGAGCAGACGGATTACCTGATGGTTAGCAATCAGCGCCGCCCATTGACACCTGCAACAACAGAGGAGTTACGAGTGCGTTGCCGAACTTTTGGGGGTTAGTGATTTGGGAGATTTAGGGATTGGGGGGATTTGGGCAGGGGAAGGATTGGGCCTTCGGTAACTTCACTCACACAGCGAACAGTTTCCATAAGCAGTACAGTTCTTTGGCCAGTCCATCTTAGTGGTGGAGGTCTACTCCGCACGCTGGTACCTTCTACTTTTACTTGCATAACTAAGCGCTATTCGGATTTATTATTGTTTACATGTCCAAAGAAGGTTGCGTGCCTGAGCTGTTATCGACAAGAGCCGATTGGGGCCTTAACTAACTTAACTCGAAATTCGACCCATCGATCAATTTTTAAGGAACTCTGTCCACCAAGCGCCTACGCGAAATACTAAAAGATGGAGAAATATTTGTCCATCTTTTAGTATTTAGTTATACATATTTATATGCTTAAAAATAACGAAATGCAGATGAAAATACTTTTGCACTTAAAAAAAAGTTTAAAATATGTAGTACCTAAACGTTTAAACTTTGCATACTGTATAGGAATAAATTATAAAAAAAACTTTAGTAACGAAATTTTGCTGCCTATTGTGGTTCTGCCTATTTTCACTTCATAAAAAGAAATATATTTACAAATAACACAGTTGAAAATATAGTTATGTATCTGTTAATAGTTTCCCAAAGTAAACCCAAAAAGGGTTGACTCCGCGTTAAATACAAAGGATCGAACCGATTGTCGACGTAAACAATTAAACTGTTAACTAAACAATCTTTGGCTTCGCGAAAATTAACCGGAGTCGGCAATTTCCATAAATATTTGATGTTATCGACCCTTAGCTACACGGAACCCTAGAAACCCGAACTAACTTCACGTTATTTAATACGGCTCAATTATATTAAATTAAGAGTCCTAGTTTAATTAGAGATAATAAATAAATGAAGGACAGCCATACTCCAATGAGGCACCGTGATCTCGGCCCAAAGCAGGAGAAGGAACAGGTGGTTTTATAGTCAGTAAGAGCCTGACACTCCCTCCCGCCCTAGGAGAGAGACAAGAGAGAGAGAAGTCATTTGATGATTTTCCCCTCACGAAAAAAAAGCCCAGAGTGATACCACGGCCTCACAGAATACCGGCGTGAAGCAACACTTCGTTGTGTTTCGACGTGTAAGTGACTTTACTGCAGGTCCAATCCTTCTTCCCCCATGCCCGCTCCTCAAATTCCCTGTCCTTAAACCCCTTATAACCTACGAGACCCGAGCAACACTTTTGTAGTCCATGAATACCCGCAATAACAGAGGAGTTACGAGTGCGTTGCAGACCTTTTGGGGATTAGGGATTGGGGAGGGATTGGGGGAGGGGAAGGATTGGGCCTCCGGTAACCTCATTCATACGGCGAAACACAACGCTGTGATTGATTCACGCCAGTTTTCTGTGAGGCCCTGGTATTACTCCGGTGGAGCTGACCCATCAGTGCTGAAGCATGGCTCTCCCACTCTTAAATAATTTAAATTTAATGATAAGTAATAATTTCCTTTCTTTTGTTTCAGATGCCAGAAAGATAGCATATGGATCAAATCCAGAGTGCAATGTAAATACGAAGTTCCAAAGACTATAAAATTGTAAATTCAAAAGATGCCAACAATTATTATTATTAAAAAAATAGTTGATAAGAAATAATACCTAATAGAATTTATAGACGAACTCTTCCATATCAATTTAAAAATATTTGTAAATTTATCGAGATTTCACTTCTTGAATACGTTTTCTTTTATTGTAAATAGTTGTTCTAAAATTACCTTATCATCCACATGGTATTGACATATCGAAATAAACCTTATTTCTTTCTCAATAAAATTAATTATCAAAAGTAAAGTTACACAAAAAAATAACGCAAGAACGTTTTCAAGAACGGAAAATCTCAAAAAGTTATTTTTAAGACAAAACTATGTAAATTATGTGATTAAATATAATGAGCGTTGGATTATTAAATAAACTTACAGTTTGCACTTTGATAGTATTTATTCACCCAAAAAAAATTAAGGTGGACATTAAAAAATCCAAAATTCAAAATATTCTATTCTAAGCAGATTAAAAAAACTCTTTCAAGCTTTTTTTAAAATATTGTAATATCATACAACGGCTCCTGAGTGGGAGTGTCAGACTCTCTGACTAAAAACCATTTCGTTTCTTCTCCTTCTTTGAGCAGGGACTCTTGTATTCATCATACATCCACCACCGACCGTCAGTGATAGTCTGATGGCAAAAAAATCTTGAAAACCAAATATAACGTAGAAAAAGCTGGACTGGTACTTGTCAGGAAACCGCACCCTCAGGTGTGAAAAGCGCCTTAATCTACGAACCACCACGACTTTCTTCGGGGCCATTCATAGGTGAAGACTCCGATCTTCCTGTTGGAGTCATTTCGCCTATCTCCACAGAGTGTTAGTATGAAAAGAAAAAAGGAAAGAAATTTCATTCCTTACACAAACCATCTAAATTTTTATTTATCAACTCATCCAAACTGTAGTATTATTTTTTATGTGATAGGTCGGGAAATGCACTTACGTATTACCTGATGGTAAGCAATCGACTGCTTATGCGCACCTGCAACGGCGAAGACTTACAAGTGCTTACCAATCTTTTGAGGATAAGAGTTTTTGAGACATAGGGTCTAGGGGAGGAGCAAAGCAAGATTGAAACTCCGTTAACCTCACTTGCACGGCGAAACACAACACTGTGGTTGTTTTACCCGGGTTATCTATTAGGCCGTTGTATCAGTACGTTTAAGCCGAGAGAAGCATGGCTCTCACATACTTGTGCAATCAAAATATAGTCCAAAGATAAATTGTTTAATAAACTAAGTAAAACCACGAAGCAACCACTACTCACATCATCCAGTTCTTAGCTAGAGCTCCATAGCTAAAGATTTGTGTCCAAATAAAGCTTAAGCTTAATTTATACCCCCCAGTAAACCCGAGCTTAAAGCTTACTCCTTTTTATTTTCACACAGAAATGAAAAGAAAATTACCAAGTACCACTTATTATTCGAAACGGATCGTAGAATTCAAAGAAACGTGGATTACTCGTACTCCTAGACGATAAAATGTATGGCAGGTTTTATTTAGCTCGTGTCTAGTGTGTCTCTAGCCTTTCGTTTCAGAGTTGTGCTTTGTTGGTTTTCTTTAAAGCTGTGCACACATCGCCCGATTAATAGGGTTCATATTGTTGGAGCTAGCATCTTGTGTTAACTTTCTGCTTTAGTTTTTGTTATGAATATGGAAACGTTATAATGCGTATAGGTACATAATATTACACTAGATGTAGGAAGAGATACACATTATGTACTTTTTTGGTTAGGGGAAAATCATCAAATGACTTTCCTCGTCCAGCGTAAGGCGAGAGAGAGTGTCAGTCTTTTACTGACTAAAAACCCCTGTTCCTTTTCCTGCTCCAAGCCGCGGCTACAATACCTTACTGCGATTGACATAATTTAAAAAGTAATATAAAAATAAATATATTCTACTATACTTACTTTCTTTACAATATTTTACTGATATGTCACTGTACGGAATGACACATAAGTATGCTTCCATTATGCTTCATAAGGTGCTCCGTTTTTAAATCAATCGATTAATTTGCCCTATCTATTCTAAAATTTATTCAGTATTAGCCAACCTTGATGATGAAGAAATCCGTTCCGTACTTTTATATTTATTATATCTTATTTTATATAAGAGAGTTAGGAATATCTTTATACTTATACTTACGAACTTTTGAATTAATTAAACAAGCTTCTGTAAGTGGCTATGCCCAAAGTCAAAATTTCATTTGTAATTCCAGACAATAATCTATCTTTTTGCCAAATTCCATCGAGATCTGTTAAGTAGTTTTTGTGTGAAAGAGTAACAAACCATTCATTGGACGAATGCATGGTTTGTTAGGACTATACAAGACTTACAAATTTTCGCTTTAAAATTGTAAGCGTAGGATAAATAATATTCAACAAATAGTAAATGAAAACATAATTCTCGACATAGATAGTTTCACAACACATTCATAGAATTTCATAGCTCCTTTACGACTAGGATACAAGCCACAGGATTATACTAGTTTACGTGGCACTTCAACCCGGCATCCAATCATATACCATGTCTCGGGGGCATAGAATTCAATTTTATCTATCCCGCTCACGTGTGGCTGTCAGTCGGTAATTTGTATGGGGTTGTTTCCTTTAGATATTGTATTGTATCAGAGCTAGCCAACTCCAATTGTTCCATCGTGTCAGAATCTTATTTTATTACTATTACAATACCTACTAACCTTATTGATATTGATACCACTAATGTATGGTTAAAGAAAACATCGTCGTCATCTAAACTAATATTATAAATGTGAAAGTAACTCTGTCTGTCTGCCTTTTCTTCACGCCTAAACTACTGAACCGATTTCTGTGAAATTTGGTACAGACATAGTTTGGAAGTCGAGAAAGGACATAGCATAGTTTTCAAGTCACTATTCCACGCGAACGGAGTCGCGGGCAAAACCTAGTTAGCCTATAAGAGGCCACTGCTGAGCAAAGGCTTCTTCTCATACGGAGTAGGTTTGAGTATTTTTTAATTCACCACGCTTGCTAAAGGCGAATTAGAAATTATAAGTTTAGGTTTCGTCACTATGTTTTTCTTCACCTTTTGTCAGTGGTGTTAATATTATTATAAACTTGGGAAGTACATATAACTTTTAGTATTTTGATATTTGCCAGGTTTTGTACCCTCATGCATAAGAAGCCAATCCGCCTTGAGCAAGCGTGGTGATTAATGCTCAAACCTTCTCCGTGTGAAAAGAGGTATTTGCTTAGCAGTGGGCACTTATAGGCTCATGATGTCTAATGTGAATCAATTTGGTTATCTTGAAAAACATCCCGATAGGTACCTTTTGCCAACCGATAACCGAGGTGTTTATGACTCCCTAAAAGGCCGGCAACGCACTCCTAACTCGTTTAGTGTTGCGGGTGTCCATGGGCGGCGCTGATGGCTTACCATCAGGTAATCCGACTGCTCGTTTGCCGATCTATTCCATAAAAAAAGTATAAGACAGTGACAGCAACAATTTTATTCCTGAGATAACATTTATATGACTATTGAAAAATCAGCTGTAATACACTGTATTTGTTTAAGGATGTCCTCCAAATAATTACAACGACTTGTATCAGTTTTCCGATATTTGAAACTAAATACCTTTATAGCAACGGTTTCTAACTAAGTACATTAAGTTAATATGTAGCCTGACCGTAAAATACAAGGGTCGTGAATGTATATTTGTAGCTTCTGTTCCGTATATTTTGATGGTCTTGTCATAACTTGTTATGTTACGAGTTGAGGAACAGTTTAAAGGAAACATATTTAGATGTTGTTAGTAGCGTATCGATTTCATGTACATTTATTATGGTTTAGGTACATCGACTGTACAGTTGGCGCGGTGAATAGGCCATAGGTTGTCGCGCAACGTGCCGCGGGTTCGTCTCTTTGTGTGATCCTTAAATTGTGGTTTCGGGACTGGTTGTGATATGTATGTAAAATTTGACGTATTTAAGTGCACCCATGATACAGGAAAATATCTTAGTGTAGTTTTTAATCAAAAAATAAAATAATTAGATTATATGATTATATAGTATGTCGTTTCGTTTTTTTTAAACGTATGAATATCGTAGGGTTTAAAAGCGTAAGTACTCTTTTGTTTAAAATCGAAGAAAGTCCGTGTCATAATTTACATTTTTAAAAGTTAAAACTACAAATTGTGAGTGAGAAATATTTGTCACTGAATGGCAAATACTAGGACGGCAATAAAGTAGATTCATCACCTTATGGTTAGCAATTGACTTCGCCTATGGACACCCTTAATACTAGGGTAGTTCAAAGTGCATTGCCAGCTTTTTGATGGCGGCCATGATAATTAAATCCTACCTTTAGTACTTAAAAGTACTTGTTATCATGACTACATAGTGTAAAACAAAGGCGATTTCTCTGTCCTTGTGTGTATGTAGTAAAAATTTAAGCATGACTGCATAGAGGTATATTTAAATTTACTACACAACGGATTGGATTTTGTTTATAGTTAGAGTGATTGAAGAGAAACTTTTATGCGTTTAATGACAATAGTAATCCATTGAATAGTGGAGAAATTTAGTTCATGTAGCATGTAATCCTTATGAAGTCGGATTGGGTAGCTGGAAAATTATAACTAATAGTTATGTTTAAAAACCTAAATCTCTATTTTTCATCCAATCAAAGTACTTTAGTTGGGAGCAGGTAGGCGCTATACATTTTTCTTTAATATTAAATGAAAACAAAACTGCCAAAGCTACTTCCAATGACAACAGTTTCGAGAAAACATATTGTCGTGAGATTATGTAAATTTTTCACCCAGAATAGAAAATTCTACGCACGTGACGTCATAACAGAGAAAACATACGACATTTTTGATTCCATTATATTTTGATCAAACTGCGTCATTCAAATCCCAGAGCATCGGCAATGGTGATTTATTCCTCGGGCCCGTATCGATACGAATCAATTATTCGATTCTCGCTATAAATCGAGTGCTTTACTCGAGTGCTGGTATCGAGTTGCTTACAGATACGTAGAAACAAAATATTTATTGGTTCACGTGATTTGTTGGTGTAATTATAATGTATTATGAAATCGATTTGTTTATGTGTAATGGTTATGGAACCTGGTCTTGTGATTATAATATTTAGCTTTAGATATTTAGACAGAAATTTCTCTATTTGTTAAAA